CTGTTCTCTTAGACCTGAATCTGTTCTCTTAGACCTGAATCTATCTGTGTCTCAGTAGGCSAAGCCACTGTTGTTCAGACATCATTGCTCTCGTTGCTAACTGACAGCTTTAACTGAGTGCTGCATTTCCGTTTTCTAAAGAGTACACKTCAAAAAAAGCTTCAATTGTAAGATTAAAGGTACTGTGTTAGAATCGACTCATACAGCAGGTCACTGAACTTACAAGCAGYTACAAAAAGGAAATGAATCTCCAAGCACAACCAAAATAGAGAACCAAACAGAGGAATGTGTCCAAAACACATCCTGTTTTCAGATCATCCTGTGCGCCCCTCCTTCCACTGAAGCCAATTTTTAATGTGACTCTAAAGTCTTCCTCAGGCACCAGAGGGTCTTTGAAGGAAAGACATCTAAGGGAAAGCGAGGAGGAAAAGGTGAAGAAGGGAGGCACTTCAGAAGTTCTCTTTTATTGTAGATGGTGCCTTTATACATTCTGAATGCATTTTATTAAACGAAGAAAAACAGAGTTATCCTTCAGATACTGAATTAAAAGCCATAAGAGATTATCTTCTTTCCATTCTGCTTGCAGAYGAAGAACATGCATTTGTAAAGGAATGGAAAGTAGTAGAAACATCTAAGACTCAAGAACTGACTCAGTCAATGCTGGTTACTGGTTTATGTTCCTAGCTTCATAGGACAGCCTGCAGGGGAAAGTATGAGTCAGAGCCCTTCCTATTAAATTCCCCATGACACGACAAGAAATACTTCCAAAATACCTCAATCTGTGTGTCATCACCACAGCAGCGCGTAAGAAAAAAATGCTAACACAGCATTACAGTGTTACAAGGCTGTGACAGCGACAAGAGGAAAACCAATATAATGGCTTGKAGCACTACAACACATGGGGCTATTCCAGCAGAATAATGTAAAGGTTTGGGGTGGAAAGTATTTTCCAACTTGTGTACAGTGTCAGCTTGGAGAGACCAAGCCCAGCTTTGAGAATATTGTTGTCAGAAAGATATGCCTCCATAAAAATCACATCCTCATTTCTGTTCCCAGCAAACTTTTAAAATACTTTTTGCTAAATGCATCAGTCTCTCAGAAAGGCAGCATCCTGTCACGTTCCCGTAGGACGCTTGGGAAGAGTTTATGCCGAGTGATTTTCGTAAGGTCTACTGTGCCACCAGGCGGATTTCTATTGAACTACACTTCTAAATGTTCAGGATGAATGTAAGTGGTTTTACAGATTACATTTGTGATTACTGACTTATAGAAAAAACAGTGTCTTAATGAAAAAACAATAGTGATTTTTTTTTTTTTAAATTTCCACTATCTGCAATATTTTTATGTCTCATAAGTTCTTTAAATCGATTTAAGCATGTGAATGGTAACTAATAGAAATTCTTCCACCTTTTCCTTTTTGACTGGGGTGGGAAACTGCAAAAGAGATACACAGGTACAACTTCATGCAATGTGTCATTTAGTATGAAAAACATGTATGTGTTCAGTTCTGGGCTCCTCAGAACAAGAAAGACAGGAAGAGAGTGCTGCARTGGCCCACAAACATGAGGAGGGGTTTGGAGCATCTCTCTTATGAGCAGAGACAGCGGGAGCTGGGTCAGTTAAGATGAGAAGAGACTGAGACGGGATCTAATTAATGCATATAAACATCTTCAAGGCGAGTGCCAAGAGGATTGCGCCGGATTCTTTTTAGTGGTGCCCAGCAATGGGTCAAGGAGCAATGGCGATGAACTAACAAGTTTCACCTCAACATGAGGAAGAACTTCTTCACGTGTAGGGTGCCAGAGGACTGGAACAGCTGCCCAAGGAGGGAGTGGAGTTTCCCACTCTGGAGACATTCCGAACTCATCTGGACGCGTTCCTTGCCACCTGCTCCAGGTGATCCTGCCTCGGTAGGAAGGTTGGCCTGGATCATTTCCAGAGGTGCCTTCCAGCCCTGACAATTCTGCCACTCTGTGCCACGGGAGCGATAATTTAGTGGGCATCTAGTGTGAAGTAGATGCACTTGTAAAAGGCGTTTCTAACCCGAAACGGCACAGTCACGCACGGCGTTCCGGAGCCCCATGTGCCTGTGTTTTGCAGCGGGCGCGGTCCCGCCCCTGACACGCAGCACAGGCGCGGCTCCGCTCCGGCTCCGGCTCCGGCTCCGGCTCCGGCTCGGGCTCGGCGCGGAAGGGGCGGCCCGGCGGCGGACATGCCTGTGAGTCGCTCACGGTCCCTTCCCCGTGCCCGCTGCCGCCTGTCCCCGGGGTGCCAAGGGGCTCTTGGGGGGCGGGGGGGAACGGAGCGGAGCGGGCCCGGCCCCGCTCTCCGGCCGCTCGGGGTGCCCGCTGTCCCGCTGTCCCCGCTGTCCCACGGCAGCCCTGGCGGGCCCCGATCCCCCCGTCCCCCCAGCCCCGCTGGGCCGCGCTCGGGGGCAGCCCCAGGGCCCGGCCCGGTGCCCATGTGGCCGCATAACGCGCAGTGCGCTTTTCTTCTTGCCCCACCCAGCTGGCCAAAGACCTAGTGCATCCCTCCTTAGAGGATGAGAAGAGAAAGCACAAAAAGAAACGTCTGGTGCAGAGCCCAAACTCCTACTTTATGGATGTGAAATGTCCAGGTAAATATTTTAAATGTTCATACCTTACAGAAGGAACAAAACTAATTTTGTATGTTGTTCATCATTATAAAATGGCTGACTATTATTTCTTTTTTTTATCTGAGTTTGGTTTATCTGTTCTGTAAAGAAAAAGGTTTGTATCTTCCTTTGGGTTTTTTAACAGTAAAAGTGTTGTCAATCTTTTGAAAAAGTTAATGTAAACAATCAGCCTTTTCTTTTCTGGAGGTCTGGCATGAGGATTTGTTGGTTGTTTTTCTTCCCTTATAAAACCCTTTCAAKTTGGGAAAAACCCAACCCTCCAGATCTGCATGTGTAAAAAATGAGATTAAATGCTTTAAAGCATCCATAGTAAAAGTTTCAAACGGAAGACAACATTGTTTTCCTCTTTGGTAAGTTAGTTCTGGAAGAGTAACTGGAAAAACTTTTGACAAGGATATTTGCAGGWTACTGCACATATACATRGAAAGTAAAACATACTCAACTGCCATTTTTGCATGTTTTTGTTAAGAACTAAGYTGCCATCTCTCTTATATGGAGTGGTTATWTTTAAGATGTTGCCTATGTCCACTTTTCACAGATCTTCATTACTTCGGTTCAGAGGCATCTGTATAATCAACTTTTCTTGTGTAAACTAAACCATGGGATTTTCTAGCCCCATTACAGGAAGGTGCTCTGCCAGTGAACAGCTTCTTTGTTCAGCACAGCTACATCCAYATTGTCCAGTGTGGTAATGTAACAGGAACGGAGCAGCATAGGGAGATTACAGCAGTAAGAAAACACATAGACCTACTTACATTAATGATCTTCCTGACTAGAACTGGGGAATTGTTGTTGATGTACTCAGTTTTTCTTACTCTCTTATTCTTTCTTAGTAGCCCGGATTTCTAAGGAGCTCTGAGATGTAGTCCAACTAAAAGTGAAGTAAATTCATTTAAGTAGCTTGAAAGTAAATTGTGGTTACTTTTAAACAAATACAGGGTTGAAGGTTAAGCCATTTTTTAACCTTTTTTTTAACACTTTCTTCATACCAGTGTACACAAATGCATACACTGTGATACAGTTAATGTCAGCATAGGCACATAGGTCATTGCTTATGTTCATTATTGTTGGGTTAATTGTTTTTTGTGTTCGAGGGACATATGGAGCAAGGTGGGAGAGCTTCAGTAGTGACAGAGCCCTATGCACAAGGCATTGAAAATAGCAGATGGCTTTATGTGTCCCTGGGTCAGTGGCATTGGAAGTTCCTGCCTAGTTACTGAAATGGGTTGGGTTCATTTCCCTGCCAAACCCACAATTGTTAAAAACTCATCARCATGGAAGTTGACATTCAGCAGGGGGAAAACAACATTTGGTGTGATTAAATTTTAGSTGTTAGCAGTTTTTCACAAAGATTTGTACAATTATTCTTTGTGATTGAAACAAAGCAGAGATCTGTTATTCTGTCTAACAGTACTTCTCCCTACCAAGCAGTYCTCTTGTCAGAGGATCTTCCTCACAACACATATTCTATATTTGCATTTTCAGCACATGTGGACCAGAAAGCTATCTCTGCTCATTTTACCTATTTGTTTTTTATATCCACACCCAGATTCAATACTTTGCAAGTTTTCTCCCTCCAAAAATACCTCTTGGCTAATTAAAAATACTTTTCAGGGGAAAAAAAATGGAAAAGGACTGAAAATCCCTTTTTTAAATGTATGAGTGATTTCACTCTTAAGTCATAGAATTCATAAGTTGTAGACAAAAGCATTGCTTAGGGAATTAATGAAGTTATTCAGTGCAAGTCTTTCCATTTAAGTATTACGTTAGCTTTATAGAATGCAACCAAGCATGGGCCTTACATGTACCAATGATTAAACAGAAAGCAAACACAGATTGGAACAGCAGTGTTTATATTCCCAGCTGCCAGACTTTGTCAACAGCAGTGTTCTAGTGTTACAAGTTAAATATTTCTCCAGCTACATGGGTTCTGTTCAGCAGAAAAGGCTTATCTAGAACTGCTCAACTTCTTTGCAGGAGACACTAGACAAATTAGGGCTTGTCAGCCAACAGGCTGTGTTGATTTTCATRTGGTGAAAACAGTTGCAGTTRCCTAACTTCAGTTACCTAAGCTTTCCTATGCATGGAAATAAAGGCAAGCACTTCAGGACACAACGGTGGTTTGCTTCCATTTGACTTGGTGTGCTGTGTAATGAAATACAGATGCATTTTTGGACAGTTATATTTAGAGTATCTGATTCAATGAACACATTAAAAAATGATGCTAGAAGTACCCAGTTGAAAGTTTCCTAATGCTGTTTTTCAGGATGCTACAAGATCACCACTGTTTTCAGCCATGCTCAGACAGTCGTTCTGTGTGTAGGGTGCTCCACTGTTCTGTGTCAGCCAACTGGAGGCAAAGCCAGGCTCACAGAAGGTAAGGGCACTGTTACACAATCTAAGAACGATGCTTATATAAATGCATTTCATAGCCTGCAAATATTTTAGCTTTGATTCTGGAAACTGATACTGGAACACTTATTTTGCAAATTGCTTAGAGTTGGCTGGTAAAAACATGGTTAACGTRCCCAGAATTGTGAATTTTTCTTCAGATTCTCATTTTTAAATGGCTGTACAGATATGCCAGGCAGCTAAACACCTACATTGTCAGCAAAGACACTTCATTTTAGATGACTTGTCATTTCCTTTAGCTTATGTAATAAATACTGCTGTTCAACTAACTGAGCTATGTTTAGAGTGTTAAAAAAGCACCGTCAAAGCAGTAGGGTACTTCTGCCAGGCTAGAGTAATTCTGTGCCACTGCTAATCTATAATGGCTTGCCTGTTTGTTTTTAAAAAGTCCTTCTGTAAAGCAGTTCCCTGGCTTTTGTTACTTAATAAAGTCTGTTTTGTATAAATTACAAGGGAACAAATAACCACTGATAATTATAAACAGACAACTGGTATTATAAACAGGTAACTGGTATAACACCAGTATCTTGAATGCAGCCCAATGTCCAGGGTATGTGAAAAGCACTGGAAACACTTTAGGACTTAAAATTTTAAACAGATCCAGATTTTATAAATTTCTTGTTTRAAGGGCAAAAGGTAAACACATATACAAATTACATATAGCAGTGCTTCTACCATGTGCAGGGGTAGTAAATGTGAGTACAGAATACCTGCAGTRAGGCTGTTGTGCAGTTGAAATGTAACAACTCACCTAGCAGCTGTTTCARTTTGGGGTTTAGAACCCCAAAAGGGATGGAACTGTAGACTGAAATTGTAAAAGGCATCTGGAAGAAATAGTACACCTGAGTCTTATTCTAAGATTAATTGCATGACAGCCATCTTGTTCAGGTYGAGCTAGAGGAGAATTACAATGCTAAATCTTCACCTCTTGTGGTATATAAAATTTAAATTTAATCYATGAATTTTCCTACTTACATTGTATGGACAATTTTTCAAGGCAGTCTTAACAATTTAAGGACTATTCATATCTCYAGTCATGTAATTTCTTTGCAGGCTGTTCATTTAGAAGAAAGCAACACTGAACCCTTCAGCATGTGATTTTTGGATCTGTGTTCCGGAAAGCCTTACCAGTTTAAAAATGCCTGTTACTACAACAATGTAATKATGATTGATTTTGTACAAATTACATGCTACTGCTGATTAATCTGCTGGAATCTCTTTTTCAATAAATGATTTGAAGTGCAAGTTTTTCCTGTAAGTTAGCAGACAACTGAGCTCTATTTTTATAATTTTGTGTTTAAACAGTAAAAATCGTGGACTTTCAGCATCCTTCCCCTTGTTGATCATAAACTACAGCAGTGTTATGCATGTAGTGACAGAAACTGCTTTAAGAATGCATTTTGTGTRTTTTATTACTGCAGCTACCCTAACTGCAAGGGTTGCAAAAAGCTAGGTAAGATTTAAAATGGCTCATTTGCTTTCAGTGTTGCTGTAGTCCCTTCCCCATCTTGGGCAACATGGTGATAAATAAAAATGTGAAGTTACTCATTGTGTTCAGCTGTTTTTCTGGAATGCATGGATTTTTCCTCCCTCTAMTTTGGTCTCAAGACTGCACTTGGTATTCTAAACTGAGATTTCTATACAAAGGAAAAAAARAAGTCCTTTGCAAAGYACTGAAAACATTCAGTATAGAGAAGGCAATTGGCATATAAGTAATTGTAAGTCACTGAGGTTACACTAAGAGGTGTGAATGGTATTTAGTCATTAAAAATCTAGTACAGCAAACCCATGCATATTGTCAGTATTAAATACTGGCATTAAATAATTGCCTTCTTGGAATAAGGMAATGGGTTTAATTAATTTTTGGAASCTATGTCTTTGTAAATGGCTGRTAAAATGGATTTTGTTTTTAACCATGAGAAAACATTCAAACAAAATCTTACTTGTATCTTATTTTACTAAATAACATCTCAAGTTCTATATCTACATAGCTTTCGAAATATCAGGTGTCTTGGTGAGCTAATTATTGTTGGGGTTTTCTAATTACCTATTCTTTTTATGATTTTGAAAACTCATATATGTCTAGTTAAAATAAAGCAAGAACGGAATACTACAATKTGTGGCACTTGCAAGGTAAGTTTATTTCAGTTATTTCAAACAGCAGACATGTAATTACCAGMTGCAGAAGGAGGTGTTTGATACAGAAACAGGTGTACCAATGGAACACACATGCCTTCTAAGAAAAGTAGGGGTTTATGTCAGTGCCATTCACAGCAAAGGTTCACTCACGAGTAACTTTATCATGAAAGCTGCTCTTAATTGAGCAGACACATTCCCACATGTAATGCTAGTCCATCAAATAACTGTTTTCAGAACTATGATCAAAGCAGCAATATTGTGACCTGAATACATATGCTAAGGCCMGGCTGACAGTCTCTGCTATGGTGTTAAATTAATCATGAGTTCTTATSTTTTAGGGTAGAGAAGGCAGAGATGTGAGAGACTAGGAATCAGTGACCCATTTTGTTCCAGGAAGAAGAAATGTAGACATCAGAGCATCTCCAGTACTGCCCATGTGACAGCAGAGGCTTTTTAAAGGCCTTAAGTAATAGGAGATGAAGTATAAAGAACATGGTATACATATAAAATACTGGTGGCTAAACATAWTCTATATAAGGAGTGAGACACTGTCATTAATATCTATGTATTAGCAATGCCTTAGTTTTTACCCTCACTCATTTTCGCACATAGTTCAGGTTTTTACATTTATTAGTGATTGGTTGTATCACTAATGGCAGACAAGCATAACAGTAAACCTATACCTTTGACATTCTCAATCTTTGTCTAAATCCACACACAACAGTCAATGAGTGAAACTTTTTTCTCTCAAGTACACAAAATAGTTTTCAAAAACAAATACCATTTGCTAAACAGGTGTATCATACAAGACAAATATGCTAAAAAYTTGTCTAAAGTAGGTGTTGCTTTTCAGCTTTTCTTTATTTAAAACATGGTATTCGGTCTATTTCTATTCATGTGTTCAACACAAAAACAACTCCAAAGTTCTTATTCGCATTCCCTGCCTAAAAATAGCACTGRCTTCTGCTGTTTCCCCAGTTAGCAGGTGCTCAAGACTGGGGGAAGAACCCCAGTACTGCTGTATTGGAACTGTCAGACAATACCAAAGACTTCAGGGAAAGAGGAGATAACTTACTGCCTGACCAATGAAAATTCATTCAGAAAGGTTCTCACTGTTGTCTTTACTAATTGACTTTACTCTTGAGTTAAAGACAATACATTATTAATGMATAAAAAAGTGAAGTTTTGGTGAGTGGGCCAGAAACCCCAAGCAAACAATTTGTAAGGCACAATAATGATTATAATYATGAAGAGTATACTAAACTAGTCGTACTAGCTTCAGTTAAAATGTAGGTGAAACACTGACCCCTCAAAATAGTAAATTTCCCAGTTTCTTGGTCTTGGGTAATAAATATTACCATAGGCATAGTGGGCAGGTAACAACTATGAAGGTAACACTAGAAGCATTAGTTTGGGGAAGAGGCAGGTAGGGCTATCTTCTGCAGGTTGCTATCCAAGACACCTTGCTCCTTAAGTTCAGAAAAGCAGAGCTGCTAAACAGTGCAGGAGAGGAAGTACTGAAACCTTTCCTGAAAGGTATTTTTGTCTCAGCCTGGAAATGCTGTGTGATGTAACTGCAGGGGAAGTGAGGTGGGGGTAAATCAAGAGAACAGAGATCTTCCATGCCATTGTAGAATAAATATAATATGGATACTTCAGATGCTACTTTATTCCCATTGCAAAACTGAAGACTAGAAAAATCTCACACCTCTAGTCCCATATCCAGCTCTGGGCCCCTCACTTCAAGAAAGACACTGAGGTGTGGCAGCATGTCCAGAGAAAGGCAGTGGAGCTTGGGAAGAGGCTGGAGCACAAGGCTGATGAGAAGCTGAGCGAGCTGGGGGTGTTTAGTTGGAGAAAAGCAGATTCAGGAGGGACTTTCTGCCTCTGTACAACTCCCTGACACAAGACTGGAGCCAGGTGGGGAAGCAGGGATCAAGTGAAAGGACAAGAGGGCATGGCCTCAAGCTGCAGYAGGTGAGGTTCAGGTTGGACAAGAGAAGAATTTCTTCACAGAAAGGGTGGTCAGGCATTGGGAGGAGCTGTCCAGGGACGTGATGAATTGCCCTGCATGCAGCACTTAGAGCTGTGCTCCAGTTACCATGGAGGTGTTTGGTTGGTGAGACTTCTACTCCTGGCTTCAAGAATGGGCTTGAAGTTGTAYTGAGTTATTTAAATTCCTAACTGCTGTATGTAAATGAATACATACATTACAGGATACAGTGCCATTTCTGGCTACCAAGTTAGCATGTGTGTTACTCAAAAGCAATGGGACAACTTGACAGCTCACCACATTGTGCCATTTGGATGGATTTGACTGTAGAAATAATACCTTTATTGCACAGTAAAGTGGTTTGACACRTTCTGTGTCCAGTAAAAATGGATGAGAGAACATCTAAATAACAAAAAGATTTTTACTTACATTGTTCTAGCCTCATTCTTTTCTAATTCTTAATCCACAGCTCTGACAAAAGCCWGCTTCTGGTATACATCTGCTTTCYGGAGGTAGCTTTGCGGTTTGGGTTTTGTTGTTTTATTTTTAGCAAATAAGGAAAGTGCTGTGTGAAAACAAAAATAAATGGTGACACAATTTTTCTTTAAAAAGTTATACCGAACAGTTTTGGCAGACTGGAACTGTGAGAGTAACAAACAACGTATTTGTGTGCTCAAATCAGGATGTGAAATTTTTCAAAACTAACATTCAAGATAGATAATTTGTACTTCATAGCAAATAAGGAAAGTGCTGTGTGAAAACAAAAATAAATGGTGACACAATTTTTCTTTAAAAAGTTATACCGAACAGTTTTGGCAGACTGGAACTGTGAGAGTAACAAACAACGTATTTGTGTGCTCAAATCAGGATGTGAAATTTTCAAAACTAACATTCAAGGTAGATAATTTGTACTTCATAGTGCAAAAAAAAAAAAAAAGCTTTTTTTAAAATCATGGTCAAGTGTTTCACTAGTTGATAAAAATAACCTGCTAATATAAGGACAATTTATACAGGTACTACAGAAAATCAACTTTGACTGTTACATTCTCATTTTCTGTAAGCTAGGAATTTCCCTGAGAGATGAATTCCAGTTACAAGTTTAGCACCAGTAGCAGAGGTTAATTAAGTTAATTTTTAATGCTTTTTCTTCCCATATTCTTAGTGATCTYGCAGTCAAATTACACCCTTCTCCCTTTGTTTTTCAGTACAATGAGCTCAATCACACMCATCTCTTTTAACTTACATATTGTGCCCGTTTTTCTTTATCGAATTCCCTTGCAATCTTTAAGGCAGTGCTGTTGAGTGAAACTGATTGCATATTACAGATAATAGTGACAATTACTCCTCTCGGGGGTGCCACTGGCCAAGTAGCAAGAGCCTCAGGGTCCAGCTCTTCAGGCAGGATGAGGAGGACACTGCTTGCCCCCACGGCCCCCCCGGTGTGAGATGCGTAGTGTCTCTGCTGTCGGCAGCAGCCGTACTGTTGGTTTTTCTCCACCACCGCCCAAGCCATGGCGTATTTACCGTCCCTGTCCCAYGACACTTCTGTTTTTGGCACCGGGGTCCACATCATTGCAACTGTGCCTGGCTTCAGGTACCCAGGAAGAAGTTTGCCATTCCTGTTTTTAAACTGTCCGGCTTGGTAACTGTACAACAATGCGTTTCCAAACTTCAGGAGGTCACCTACTGATGACAGAAAGCCACCACCAGCCCACTTGTAAGAGTTGTCCACATATGGTGCATTTACCAGCCGTCCCTTCTTGTTGTAAACATAACACCTACAATTCAAGAAAATTCAACTTTTCATTCTCCTATACTATGCACAACTATTTTAAGCTGCCCTACCTTAAAAAGAGCAAACCGAGCATGCATTAGTTTATTCTCACAAAACTTYAGACTACCATCAACTCTGACAGTGATTCAGCATCTTTGTCCCCACAATGAGTTTTTTGATCACAAAAAAACCCTGTTACAAAGACATTGACTTATACCTCTAAAAGATCTAGAACATGAATTTTAAAGCATTTTCCYATTAGGTGAACACAGTATAACCAAACCATTAAACAAACCTCAACACGTCCATACATTCTATTTTGAGGCACAAGCTCCAATTTGTGGAAGCAAACCTATCAGCATCTCAGTTTTGTTTAACAGTAAGTACCTATAAAAAKATTCCCAGAACAGCATCTGTCCCAATTCTTTGATCCCTTCTATATTTCAGTTTATAAAAGAATGAATAAACACATTTTAAAAAACTGTGACTGTACAAGGTTTATAATTTATGCCAACATCACCACTATCATCTAGATGAGCCTCTGAGCCTACATCCAGAGAGCCTCWGAAATTTTGCATCTTAGAACAGAGCAGTAAAGCTGTGTGCACACACACTTGCAATATATACTTGTACATATG